CACCAAACCGTTTTTCAAAGTTCATTTTTCGAGAAAATCACACGTTCGAACATTTTGGGGGGTTTTGCCGAACACTTTTTTTGAAATCGCGAGTTTTTGGGCTTTAAGCGGGCATAACTCACTTCATTTTCATTTCTGTGATGCACTTTTTTCATGGGGTGAAAGTGCAGGATTTGCTCTTTCTGAACAAGCACCAAACCGTTTTTCAAAATCCATTTTCCGAGAAAATCACACGTTCGAACATTTTGTTCCCATAGGTTTTTTGAGCAGCACATGCGAGTTTTTGAGCTTTCAGCAATAATAACTTCCTTCAAAGAACTTGTTGGGGAGGGGCGAAGACATTTTTGAAGACTACGAGATTTCTGCTTTCTTATGTGTTTTACCGTTGTCTGGAAGAATCGTCCTCAGAAAATTAGGTCCCGAAGAACTTTAATTTCAGCCCCGAGAAGTCAAACCTTTCATAGGGATGCATTCAACTGTTCTTTATTCCTCAAGGAAAACACCGTAATTTGCCTAAAACTGTCTCTCTGTGCATAATTAATCGAATCTAATGCGGTCTGCACAAACAATTCTTGCCCTCGGATACGCCACGCACGCGCCTGTGGCTGGCAGTCCTCGAAATTGCGACCCCCTTCCGACCAAAATGCGACCCCTTCGTTCGAACAGTTCGAACGGACGGTTGACCCTGCTCCGACCTTCCTATAGAACGTTCTGACCCTCGCCCCTGATGCGTTTTGCAGACTAGGCACAAACTAGCTGACCATCTGCCTCTGTATGCGTCGAAGGGGTGAAACTCCAGTTCGGGGGGGCCCACTCCATTTTTTCTCCAATACTCAAGATAAGGATTAGAGGGCTCACGACACGTAATCGACTCATTTAAAGTAGACTTCTGATAAATATTGGTGTAATGGGAAGAAACCCTGAGAACGATTTCACATTTCCGCCTGCCATGACCCAAGGGAACGGTCCTGGACCAGGAGAAAGGACACCTCCGCAAAGGGCTAAGGGTGCAGGAGCTCCAGGGTGGATCACCTGTGCAGAAAAGTGGATGGGATGTGGGCAGGTAGTGTGGAATGTAGGACATCCACCGGTCCTTATCAAAAGTACGCTCGAAATGAGTCGTTCACTTATTATCTTATCCGTAGTGTTCGATAGCCCAAAGAACTGCTCTCTAGTACTACGGATAAGATAGCAATGGAGTGCCCCCCCGAACTGGAGTTTCACCTCGAAGCAATGAAAAAGTGGGCGTTCTATGAAACAAACCTATTCAAAGCGGACTTATTTGAGTTTACATTCATATCAGGAGCTCAGGAATGCTAAACAAATTACACCCCGATTGATCTGCTGAAAACAACGTTTCTATGATTACGGTGATCCATATATTTGTTCAATGTCAACAGCACTAAAGAACAGATGATTTCGCAAAAATCGAAAAGTTGTGAAAGATAAGATAATGAACACATAATATTACTTGACAACGTCGTCCGTCTATCAAATCGTGGCATATCGCGATGCACGGACTTTTTGATACTTTACAGCAAACCACCAAAGACAACACCACAACACGAGAACAAGGAACATCTTTAATACGTGCTGTTTTGCGAATACAATTACGGCGCAGATGCAACTCAACCGGCTAGAAATATCTATAGCGTCGAAAAAGACCGCTGAAACGACCACCAGGAATGGCCTTCTCGATTTAAGAATATTTCGGTCCGACTCCGAGCGATAGGTTTCGGTCCAGTCCCTGCGATTCAACAAGTCAGAAACTGTCTCGAGAGATGGATTCTAACCAAGAAATGACAATATCATAAGATGAGCTTCCCCTAGGTTGAACCTAGGGTACAGAATTCCACGAAAAAATGAAAATTCGCTCACGCACCCTGGGGTTTCTCTCCGTCCCTCCTCTATAGCTGAAGATTGACCCTAAACTTACCTAAAAATGTTTGCTGCGTTTTTACAACCGTCGCAGCCGCAACACCTCCCTCCCCTCCACTGCCCTCTTGCGATAGCACCCAATATCAATTGCTCGGCACCTAACATCAAAAGGGTCGGGTCAAAAGTACAGCACGTGGTGTGTTTCGGATCGACAATGCCCAGGTGATTCCATATCACACGTTTTTCCTCTTCCACCGTTTTCTTTTATTGAGCATCCACAAAGTACTATCGTATTCTGTTGCTGCCCAATGTGCTTATGTGTTTCTTCCGAAAACGGCGATGAGATGCATTGTTGCCTTGAAGGATCCTTCCCGGAAAATCGTGATTCTATCTCACCCATAATTCACTGGCTTGGACCCATCGTTCACGATAAGAACGAAAAAAATTGCATTTGTTTTGGTAAAAAAATCGAAAAACGAAAGGGCTGCTACGCGTTCAAAGTACCGCCGGACATCTGTCACAAATGCTGGCGACGGGAATGCTTCCACTTGGTTCTTGGAGTGCCGTCACTAGAAACTCTTTCTGGCCTTTTGACTTATTGCATTCACATCTCACACTTCTACTCATCCTATTCTATCGATCGATTTGTCTCTACTCTCCAAAATCGCACGCTTCAACCCGATTCTTTCATTGGGTTACGGGCAGTGGTCAACCAGCGCGTGAGAGTCCAGACAGAAAAGCACCTACTTTCTGCTTTCTAGGACTAAGCTTTAAAGGAAGGAAAGATCAGAGACGCTGTAATAGTGTACATATGCGAGAGTGCCGAGAGATCACTACAAAACGCTGAATCACAAGCCTTTCGGTTGAGCGCTGCTCTCGGACGTTTACCGTCAATTGTCCGAGAAATGTGGTTTTTGTAAGATTGTTTCTCTTCGGAAACTGAACTTCTGGGCGTGAAACTTTGAATGTTGTCTCTAGTGATCACACATATGTTGTGGAAGGCATCGCAAGATTTTTCCGTGAAAGATTCCTTAAACTCGGGGGTTCACTTCCAAGGGTTAGAACTACATCCAAAGAGGCATGATAAACTGATAGTTCGTCGGCTATAAATCATTGAGAAGGACGGAAGGTACCTCACGAATTGGCTTTAGCACGACATCACTTGAGGAAGCTTTTACCAAAAAAAAGCTACGAACTGTTCTGACAGCGTAACTTCAAAACAGGTGGAGTTCGTACAGAGTGCTGCACCTTCCGTCCCACTCGCTGACATGGTCACGTAGGAGTGAACGCTAATCACCCGAGCATTCACTCAGCATCTTCTTTCGCATGCACGCGCTATCAGGAAGAGGCCGAGTAAGTGTAGCCGACTGCATTAGTGATTGAAAAATGTAGAGCGTGGACAGCCTGCCTGTCTAGCCTTTTTTAAGCTCGGAGTCAGTTGTCCACTAAATTGCTCAGTCAGCGAGGAAGTGCATTTGCACTCTCTGCATATTCGCCGTGGCCCCGTGGAAGCCTGAATTTTGGATCAATCCTTCCCTTCTGTCAAGTAATATTATTGTTGAAGTATTGCCTCTTTCTTTCTGTTAGAGAATATGTATTCCTAGTGTGTTATCTCAAGCTCACTGTTAACCCACCTGATAGAGCCGTCGTGGGTTCAGTCTGAGCCGGGAGTTCTGTAGAAGAAGCAGCACGGCTTGCTTGATGAACAGTACTCGCTCTTGTTCGGTAGTTGTATGCTCGGCACTAAGCGTTGGCACTTACGTAGGGAGTCGATCTGCTTATTGCCAAATTTCATCAGAGAAATACTCTCGCTTTCAATCGCTGCCTCATAACACTCACCGCTTTTACGATCCATTCCAGTAGTTCAGCGACGAGGCGGAAGTTTGGCGTCCGGAAGTTCTCGAGTGAGAGTATGCGCGGGTAGCCGATCGCCTTCGTCATCTCACAAAGATCTAAAGAAACGTTTTGCTGTCGAAATTGTGAGCCTAAATTCTTCCGTCAAGTTTGAGGGAGGCTGCGGTCAGGGCAGGTTTCATCGAAAAGTATCAAAGGGATTGCTTATGAGTGGGAGTAGTTGCTTAAAAATGTAGGGGAAGTAGAGTGTATGAGCAGCTCGAGTCTACTCCAACAGAGAGGGGGGTGGGAGGGGTAGGTTCGTGGAGCTCACAAAAAGCCCAATTCTTACAGGAGAACGAACGTCGAAGTGGGCGTGAAAACGAAAGCGGAACAGTTCACGCACCCCGGGGCTTCCTCCCAGCAAAACTTGGAATTACTGTAAGCAACACGAACTATTGTACCACAATTCCAACTCCACTAGATTTAACACCTCGTAAACGAGAGATGTTCAGTGTTTTCAGGGAAGATTGCACCAGTGCCTTTTATCGGGCCATATTATTGCCTAAGGAACCGCCATTCCGGTGCTTCCTGTTGGCGTCGGAAGTCACTGTGGCACTCGAAATCTTGCTTGGCATGGCTTTTATTTCTAATTCGAAGTTAAAATTACAAATACAAACGTACTTCGCCGCTCCCTGTACGACATCGCTGAAGCCAGGCACCACTCCTGAATGCCCGCTTGAGCGGCGTTCTCACCATGGCAACTGCCGTTAACTTTAGGCGTAGCTACTAAAGCGCCTTAATAAATCCTCAATACTAAGGAGACTTGCCAGCTAAACGGAACTCAGTTTGTTGTTTCTTTAGTTCCCTTTTCAGGGCAAGTGTTCCATATTGTTCCCACTCCCCTTTTCTTTTCTTATCACCGACAATGTTTTAATTAGAACGAATACGGTAGGATGGCGAGGTCCGTAGCGCCCGCATATTGGGTAAAGCTGCTGACGTGATTTTACGACCACCTTATCTCGTTGTGTTGCGAACTGGTGCTTCAATGTTAAATCAGCTTCACTTCGGATTTCTGGCTTTTCCAGAGTTGCTGGCATTTTTTGTGAGGTGGATTTTGCTGTACCGCTCTCAACGTGTGGAGTGTCTGCTGCTTTTTCCACGATAGTTTATTGCTCTTTAGATCTCTTATTTCTTAGTTTTCTATTCTCCGAGTAGATTGCACTAACGCTTTCCTTTGATCTTCGTTTACTAACGCTAAAGTTGCTCAAGTTGAGAATTAGTATTGGCAACCTTTACTCCCTTTACTGATGAAAGTAGCAGTAAACTGTTGAAAAGGTAGTTCACGCAATGGCACGCTCCAAATTTTCAAAACCAAAGGGGAGGGGCATGTCTAGGTGTGGACCGGTTCTCTTTGCTTTTCACCCTGTCTTCGAAAGGTGATTATATTAATGCAAGATGATTTGGAAAGGGAAAAAGGGGGAAATTGTTACGGTCAAGGCATTAGAGCGCCATTGGGCGATTAACGGGCGGGTTAATGTGGGCAACAAAAAAGTGCTTCACAGCGGTTCTGCTCCGAAAGGTGATAGTGGCAGTCTCTCTTCATAAATGACTATGCGATTGTGCAGTGAGCATGTTTTTGTCATCAATCACTGAGATTGATTTCTGAGTTTGTTTCACTGCTGAACTCTAGCAGACAGACGCGTAGGGCGTTCTAGAGAAACACACGAAGTAACGAACATTTTGTGTCAGCTGTTTTCCCGAATGTACTTCTGCGATTATAGGTAATATCCACGATTCTCCATGGCTCTCAAAACTTGCGGTCGACTCGTTGTTGCTCGGCTGTTTAACACTAGCAAACGTAGCCTTGCATCTGCACAATGTGAGTTTTCCCCTGTTCGTTATTCGACTACTTGCAACCTTTAAAAAACTTCAAAAATGGACAAATTTCAATAATCATTTTAATTCAATGCGCTGAGAAAGTGAATGACATTCATTCTGATGTTGGCTGTATTGGGCGACATTTGGCCGATTTCATGCAACAACTGCTTTGATCAAGGTCGCTGTGAACTTTGACTGAACTGAAGACTATTATAGTGCCCAGATTACGAATTGCATTCATTTTCGGCGCAAGAGCAGTTGCTTCCCACTGGCCGATGTCAGACTTTGCGATTGGAGCGATTGTGCACCAATTGCAGGAGCGACGGGAGATTTACACCGCCGACCACCGATAATTCGGCGCCATCAGCTCGTAAATCTCCCGTCGCTCGCACTTTGGAGCGACGGATCGCTCAAGCGATCCATCGCTTCTATTTCTGCATCGCGCGCTTAAGCCCAAGCCAAGGAAAACCAGCAACACCACCCTGGGTGAACATCTTGTTGGGGGAACAATTGCGACAGTACGACTCCTTCGAGCGAGAGCCTCGGTACGGGTGTGGTCATAATTTGCGACTGTCTTGCACTTCGTTTGCAGTACAAGTGTGGAATAGCTCCGTGTAGAACATGCGATCGCATAATGATATGGTACTACTCCACACGCGTACGACATAGCTGGAAGTATGGCCGCCGCTGACAACCACCACTAGTCGGTTTTGAACCGAACACACTCAAAATCCACGTCAAGCTTCTTCAAAATTATTACTGAGTTTAGGCGGAGATATATGATGTGATTGCTGAAACAGCAAATTTTGCGTCTTTATTTTTTTTACGTTTCCCAAACTGTTCCCATCCCTCTCAAAATTTTCAAATCGAACCCTCCCCTTACCAAAGCGAACACTCACTTTTTTTTCAAGGAATCCTCGACATGGCTCTTCGTCGACCATAAGCCACTCATTTTTATTGTTGCTGTTTACATGTCCTCCCCAACCCAGAATCAGGCCTCTGTGCTTCAAGAATGTGCATATATTCGTGGCCTGAGAAGTGAATGGGTAGTCTTATAGCCTATTTAGTGGAAATGTGTGAAATGGGCGCAATTTTGCGCCCCTAGCGCCAACGGAACTGAATGTTTTCGTTGTCATTAGTGCACCGAATCAACCCTCTAGGTGTAGATGTAGAGTAGACTCATTTCTTGAGTTTTCTCTTTTTTTTCTTTGAGAACGTTGAATAGTGCACCGTTTTTATTTTTGTATTTAATATAACTTTTTTTCTTAATGATATTAATCATAAGTGGGAATAGTTTTAGAATTATCTCGTTTAAGCCATAACAGTGCGAGATGCGCTCAACCAGGCCATGGATGAGGAGATCAAGAGGGACGACCGCGTATTCTTGATCGGAGAGGAAGTAGCTCAGTATGATGGAGCGTACAAGGTCTGTTCCTTTTGTCGAATCCTTCAGAGGAACTGATTTTATCAAATATTTCCGCCTACAGCTTTGTGGACCTGTAGAAAGTGAATGTGGTTAAAGAGTAAGGTTGCGAATGACATCATTTCTATCGTACTTTTTCCCTCTACCGCTGCATTTCTGTTGAGAATTCGAGTTGATCTCCGTTGCCGTTTTCGAGCAAACATCTCCCATTTGAAAAAGGGATTCGGGCTCTCTTTGTTCTCGTCTGCATTGCGGTCTTCCTTGAAAGATTGAAAAAGGAGCGGGAAAGCCGAAAAAAGTTGCTGACACATCAACGGTGTCATTACCGCGCCAAGTGTTTTCTAACTCTTTCTTTCATTGAAGTAGTGCTTGCAGGTTTCGAAGGGATTGTGGAAGAAATATGGGGACGATCGAATCATTGACACACCTATTACAGAGCAAGGCTTCACAGGTACATTTATACTAGCTGTAGTTAATAACTTGAGAACGGTCAATGAGGAAATGCAGGGCATGTGCATTGTTATTTACTCAATGGATGGTATTATCAATCAGAATTTCTTATCACGATCTACTCTGCCAAGGGAGGTCCTTCAGGACATGGAGCGCTTTTTTGAAATACTTCTCTGCAT